GTAAGCCAATCTCGCCACCTCCATGTCCCAATTATCTTTGATATCTCAAGATGATCCTCATCCGGTTTCGAGTTCTTCTGACATGTCTCCAGAGTCTTCAGGTAACTGTGGTTATGTTTTTAATATGAATAGTGATGGTACTCCATCCGGATGGATCATTAACTCCGGTGCCACATACCATATGACTTATGATCCCACTGATTTAGCTTGTGATATTATTCCATTTCGACGTAATATTACTAATGCTAATGGAGTCACCTCACCGGTAACTGGCGCTGGCACCGTGCGCATCACGCCCACTCTCTCTCTGCCTCATACATTACTTGTATCTTCACTGAAGCATAAATTGATATCTCCTGCCCAAGCTACTGAACAATGGAACTGTTGTGTGCTATTGCATCCAAAGTTTTGTCTTACACAAGATATTCTCACGAATGAGATAATTGGTCGTGGTACTAAGAGGGGGGATCTCTAATTTGTGGATGATGTCAGTACAGGACAGGTCAATCTCGCCCAATGAGCAGTTGATCACAAGAAGCGTCAGATATGGTTATGGAATCACCGTTTGGGTCATCCATCTTTCAGTTATATGCAACATATGTTTCTGGATTTATTTGTTGGTTGTTTAGTTTCAGACTTTAAATGTGACACTTGCATACTCGCCAAGAGTCACCGTGTTTCTTATCCGCTGAATTCTAATAAAAGTGTTATTCCTTTTGGTCTTGTTCATTTAGATGTTTGGGGACCATCTTCGATTACTACTTCATCTGGTATTCGATGGTTTGTAACGTTCATAGATGATTGCACACAGATGACATGGTTATATCTTCTTAAGCATAAAAGTGATGTTTTTTCGGCTTTTAAAACCTTCCACACCATGGTTCAGACACGTTTTCTACTAAAATGCGGATTTTGCATTCTGATAATGGTGGTGAATATGTTAATGATGATTTTTCCCATTATTTAACTAATCACAGAATTCTTCACGAAACTACATGCCCTTAGACTCCTCAACAGAATGGGGTGGCAGAGCACAAAAATCGTCATCTCTTAGAAATAAGTCGCTTACTCTTGATTGGGGCATCTGTTCCCCACTCTTCTTGGGATGTTGTTATTCAGACCGCCACTTATCTTATCAACCGTTTGCCATCCAAAGGCCTGGATTTTCTTACTCTCTTACAAGTCTTTGTTACCTTCGTGCATCTATCATCAGTTTTGGTACTCCTACCTCGGGTTTTTTTATGTGTTGCATTTGTTGATCTTCATAAAATCAACGGACAAAACTTGAACCGTGTGCTCTCTGTTGTATTTTTATGGGGTACAGACTCTATCATAAAGGGTACCATTATTACCACCTTCATTCCCGTCGAATGTATGTTACTATGGATGTCACTTTTTCCGAGTCTAAGATGTATTACCTTTTGGATTCTTCCAATCCTCCTCCTCATAGGGAGACACGGCATAACGAGAAGGATTGGATCATGAATGATACTGTTGATCTTCCGCTGCCACTAACCGAGCCTATAGCAGCTGTGCTGCCAGCCCAGCCAACAGCAGCCGTAGTGCTACCCACAAAATCAACGACAAGCATGGCAATGTTGTCCTCACCCACGGCAACAGTGATGCCACTTGTCAACTTCGAGACTTCTACTGATACTACTCCATTCTCATCTCCAAATATAGTACCACCAGATGACCATACTCTTGAGAATATTCCTGAGGTAAGCTCTACTATCCCTGTTGATGATACAGTTGTTCTGAATTATCAATTACCTTTCAGGCACAACTAAGGAAAGCCACCCAATCGATATTCACCGGACATAACGAAAGGCTCTAAATACCCTCATTGCTAACTATGTGTCATCACAGAAGTTATCAGAACCCGGTAAAGCTTTTGTACAACAAATATCCAATGATAGCACACTAAGTTCATTGAAAGAGGCATTATCTGACGATCAATGGACCAAGGCAATGGAGGAAGAAATGGATGCACTCCAGAAAAATCAAACGTGGGATTTAGTTCCACTTCCCCGAGGAAAGAAGAGAGTTGGGTGTCGATGGGTGTACATCATCAAGTACAAAGCTGATGGGTCTGTTGAACGATATAAAGCATGATTGGTGGCCAAGGGATACACTCAGGCGTATGATGTTGATTATATAGAAACATTTTCCCCAATAGCAAAGATTAATACGATAAGAGTATTGCTTTCATTGGCGGCCAACTTAGATTGGCCATTATAGCAATTTGATGTGAAAAATGCTTTCTTAGATGGTAATCTTAAAGAAGAAGTGTATATGGCTATTCCATTGGTTATGCTTCGGTTTTACAACCCGAAGTGTGCAAGTTGAATAAAGCGTTGTATGGGTTGAAACAATCACATCGAGCATGGTTTGGTAGGTTCTGGACGGCTATGAGGAAATATAGGTTCAGGCAAAGCAATTCCGATCATACATTTTTCTTGAAACATTGAATGGGGAAATTGACGGCACTTATCATCTATGTGGACGATATGATTGTTATGGGTAACGACAAAAAGGAAATCTCAAGGCTCAAAGATTACCTAGCAACCAAGTTCGAGATGAAAGATCTTGGTGGTTTGAAATATTTCTTGGGGATATAAGAAGCTCGATCTAAACAGGGTATATTTCTGTCTCAAAGAAAATATGTTCTAGACTTATTTGCTGAAACCGGAATGCTTGATTGTAAACAAGTTGACACCTCTATAATCCAAAATCACCATATTGCCGTGCACCCTGATCAAGTTCCCACTAACAGAGATCGTTATCAAAGGTTAGTTGGGAGGTTAATTTATTTATCTCACACTAGGCCTGATATTGCATACGCATTAAGTATTGTTAGTCAATTTATGCATTATCCAAATGAGGCACTTATGGGTACGGTTGAACAAATCCTACGATACCTGAAGTCCTCACCGAGTAGAGGCATCATGTTTTCCAAGAATGATCATTGCCAAATAGAGGGTTACACCGATGCAGATTGGGCAGACAATGTTACTGATCGTCGGTCCACATCTGGTTACTTTACATATGTGGGAGGAAACTTAGTGACTTGGCAGAGTAAGAAACAAAAAGTGGTTGCTTTATCAAGTGCAGAGGCAGAATACAGGGGTATGGCAAAAGGAGTATGTGAACTATTATGGCTTCGGAGGTTACTTGGTGAACTCGGGTATCCTTCGAATTTAGCCTCGGATTTATTTTGTGATAATAAAGCAGCTATCGATATCTCACACAACCCAATTCAACATGATCGCACAAAACACATGGAAGTTGAATGACACTTCATTAAGGAGAAGTTGGATAGGAATATTATTCAATTCTCGTTCGTAAAGTCAGAGGATCAATTGACGGATATCTTAACTAAAGCTGTTGCAAGTCAAGCGTTCTACAACTCTCTTGTCAAGTTAGGCATAAACGACATTTATGCACCAACTTGAGAGGGAGTGTTGGAGAGTTGACCTTTTGTAATTAGTTTAGTTACCTATTTAAGTCCTTGTAATCAGATTGTAATTGGGTTATTTGATGTTTCTTTCCTTGTAAATCACTCTTGTACATTATATATTTTCCTCCTTGGTGAGAAGAATGACATCAGGAAATTAAACCCCAAAATAAGCCCTAATTAGCAAAGATCTTAGTACAAGAAGTTTTACGTCCAACTTTTGTATTTTAGGTGAATGTAATAATCAAACTGTTATCGTAAGTGTAAAAGTTAGTACTCCACTATTCAATCCCGTTACCAATAACGAATTAAATATAACACCACCTACCAAGCATGAAGTAGCCACTGTCAAAATTCATCCTCAAGGTTGCCATATTGAACTTGCCGCATGAAGTAGCCACTATGTCCATGGGAGGATTTGACCCACCAACGACTACTGAATATCGCTCACCAGTGGGGAAAAGGGAAGAGATTGGGGAAGGAAGGCGGGCTGAACAAATGAAGAAAAAAAAAAGAGACAAATGGAAGAAAAAAATTGAACTGGGATAAAGAAGAAGAAGAAGAAGAAGGGTTGCATGAGATGGAAGGGCGGCAAGTAGGGAGAGAGAAACAGAGGCAGATGGGTGACGGGAGGGATGAGGACATGCATGCATAGAGAAATGGGAAAATGAATTAAAGAGATTACAAGGTGGGAGGAGAGACAAAGGGGCAAAGGGAGAGAATGAAGGAGAAACAGAGAGATGGTAGGATAGGAGAGAATGAAGGAGAAACAAAGAGATGGTAGGGTAGGAGAGATGCAAGGGCTTAACTCATTTCTATCACTGTGGTAATTATTAATTGCTAAGAGAAAAGAGATCAATGATGATTGAACCTATATCATAATGCATAAAATAATTGATTTCCACCATTATAATAAAGCTTGTTTTCTTAAAAGTTTTAATACCGTACTTTTTTGCAGTGGTTGGCTGCTTTACTGATTGAGCCATTTTTTTACCATTTCTATAATAAGGATCTGCATTGTCTGCCCTTCCCATTCCATGCATTTCCCATCCCCTTCTATTTCTGTAGTCACGGTTAAGTTACGTCAACATTTTATATTGATTTTTTTTTATAGAACTAATAAGACAAAAAGTAATAGGAATATAAAATGTTGACGTAATTTAACCGTGATCACAGAAATAAAAGATTATGGAAAGAGTATGAGATGAGAATGGTAGACAATCCAAGTCCCTATAATAATACCCAAAACTATACAAATCTTATTATAAAAATAAATAAATGATTGATTGATTGATCATTTTATTCTTTTGCTAAAAATTGATTGATTGATTGATTTTGTGATGGGGGAGGGAGGGAAATTCCCAGAAGCAGACAAGCAAATGAATCAAATATGAGAAAGGAAGGGTAGGAAACAAGGGGCAAGACAGTAATTTCGCTGAATTCCGCGTCAAACCCTGTCTGGCGTCTGAAAATTGAGACACAATATAGTACAAGACGCGGGTTCTGTGTCATTCTCTGTTTCTGTAATTAGTGGAGAGCAGCAGTAAACACATTCCCACTCCATGGTCCATACCCATTACCCACTGAAATGAAACCACCATGAACTTTCCTCTCACCTCTCCCACTCCTCACTCTGCCCCTCTTTATTAATATTCTCCACATCCAATATCTCTCATGTTCTTTCTTTCTATATCTTTCTCTCACACATTATCAAACACCTTCCCTGCACTCCAACCATGGACCGCCGCCCGCACGCCGACCATCTCGACGCCTCCCCGATGCAGCCCTACAACGGCTACGAGCTCAGCGGCAAGATCATGCTCAGCGCCATCGTCATCCTCTTCTTCGTCGTCGTCCTCATGCTCTGCCTCCACCTCTACGCGCGTTGGTACCTCCTCCGCGCCCGCCGCCTCCATGTCCGCCGCAATCGCCGGAACCGCCGCACCCATATTGTCTTTCACGAGGACGCGGCCGCCCTCTCCGCCGTCCCCACCCGCAGCCTTGACGCCTCCACCCTTAATTCCCTCCCTGTATTCGTTTACTCGTCCAAATCGAGTCAAATGGAGCAGTTTCGGCAGCAGCCCATTTTGGAGTGCGCCGTCTGCTTGTCGGAATTCGAGGACGACGAAACGGGGCGTTTGCTTCCCAAGTGTAAGCACAGCTTCCATATCGAGTGTATTGATATGTGGTTCCAATCTCACTCCACGTGTCCCCTCTGCCGGGCACCCGTGGAACCGGGCCCGGAGTCCGAAACCCGGGCCGACGTGGTTCTGAATGTCTGCGAACCGGACGAGCCGGGTCCGAGCTCCTATTTGTGCTCGGAGTGTTGTAATTCCGAGACGGCGTCGTCTGGGGCGCGGAGAAAGCCGTCGAACATCGTGATTCCGAGAAGGAACGAGAGTTTGGGGAAGGGGGACGGCTCGGGATGTGGCGAATCGCCGGCCGGTCAATCATTTAGGTCTCCGATGAGTCGGATGTTGTCGTTTAGGACAATGCTAAGTAGGGAAAAACGGAACGGCGGCGTTTCGCCTTCGGGAGGAAACGGGGGGAGTTCCAGTTCGGTGGCGGGGTCGGATATCGAACTCGGTGGACGACAAGGGACCAGCGAGTGCACTCGGAGAGAGTAAAAACAGGAGGTGGATTGTCTACTATTTCATTTTCATACTCTTTGCATTTTCTTTTGGTCACGATTAAATCACGTCAATATTTTATATTAATTTTTTTTATAAAAGTAATAAAACAAAAAATAATAGAATATAAAATGTTGACGTGATTTAACCGTGATCACACCAAACAAAATAAAAGGGGATAGAAAGAATATGGAAATGAGAGACCAGACAATCCATCTTTGTAAAAAAAAAGGTGACGTGGCTGTAATTTTATACAAAATTGGGGGTGGAGACATCCGGCGACTATCATTCAGTCAGCGTTGACCGAATCGGGGCAAATGTGGAAATTAAATTTATACGTGGCGGGATAGAGGAGAAGTGGAATTCGCGCTGTTTTTGGACGTGTATATATAATTTTTGTTTCCTTTACATTACATTGATGTGTTTTTTTCTTGGCATATTTGTATTTGTTTCTAAATTGGTATAAAGCTGTTAATTTCTTTTTTTAATATTAATTTTAGTTGATTACTTTTTTGAATTTTTATAAATAGTCAATTTCTCTTTTGAACTTTAATTTTAACCGATTACCTTCCTGAATTTTTATAAATAGCTAATTTTTCCCTTGACGCTAGATTTTAAAATTTTCATCCAATTTTTTTATCTATTTTGATCAAGCAGACAAACGACAACTGTATGGGAAAAAAAGAATGGAAATTGGATGGATGAAAATTAGATGAAAAATCTAAAATCTAACGCTAGGAGGAAATTGGGCTTCTATAAAATTTTTGAGGGTAATCGGTTAAAGTTAAAGTTTAGGAGAAAATTGACTAATTATAAAAGTTTAGCAGGGTAATTGACTAAAATTAGAGTTCAAGGAAAAAATTAACATCTATACAAGTTCAGAAGACAAACCGTCAAATATCTCTTTTTTCTTTCCGTTTTGTCTTGTTTTGTAATTATACAAATATATTGGTACAAAAATTAGAAAGAAAGAAGAATTTTTGGGTGTTTTGAAATTTCAAATGAATGGTGTTGAGTGGGTAACAAACAGAAACGATTTGGTTCCGGCAGAAATTTGGCTGTTTCCATTAGGATCTTTCAGAACTCCTATGTCGTATAATTTTTGGGATTGTTTTGTCACAACCCCATGTTGAATGATGTTTGTGATTATTTTGTCACGCTGTCTTATCATTTTTTTCATTACGATGTCTTGGCAGTAGGGGTACGATATTTACGTATGTGACTATGTCTCGTAATCAAGTGTATAATATTTTTTGTGAACAAATACCAATCACGTAAAAATGTACTTACAACATGTGCACGATGAAAACTTCAATTTCATATATAAATTTCTCATATTAGCTGGCCATATGATATGAGAATGTCTATTAAATAAAAATTTAAAAATTTGGTTGGTGAAGAAGTGAAACATCTTCTTATGAAAAAGAAACCACGTGGAAAATCATAGAGCCTTCGCAGCCGACGGAGAGGAAAATAATAAAATGACAGCTTTGTAAGGCCACCGTCACCAGCGACGGCTGCTGCAGCCTGCACCACGATGTTATTTGCAACGTGTTATTCACCATTATTTTTTGCTTGAATATTCTTTTCTTTTTGTTTGACGTTATTTCAAGTAAGATGAGAAGTAGCTTAATTTTTTATAAGCATTTGCATGATTTGATCACTCACCGATATAAAACTTTATCATCACATTCTCACAAAAACTTCCTCAAATTTTCATGTTAAATTAGTATTTTTAAAAATTTTTTCATAATTATTTTTAAAATGAACGATAATTCGTTTTTTTTTTTAACAAACGATATTATTTACACTAAAAGAATTAAGGGGGAGGGAGTAGGCTTAGCCTTACAATGGGCTAGCAATAATGTAGTTTAAATTTACAGTTGGCCAAAATTAAACCTAAGTGTGGCATCCCACATCGCCTAGGGAGTGATCTTTAAATGTATATTCTCATCCCTACCTAGCACGAGGCTTTTTGAGAGCTTATTGGCTTCGGGTTCCGTAGGAACTCTGAAGTTAAGCGAGAAGGAGGCCAAAGCACTCCCAGGATGGGTGACCCATTGGAAAGTTGCTCGTGAGTTCCCAAAAATAAAACCGTGAGGGAATGGTAAACCCAAAGCTGACAATATCGTGCTACGGTGGTGGAGCGGGCCCGGGAAGTGGTCCGCCTTGGGCCGGGATGTGACAAATGGTATCAGAGTCAATTGTGCCGACGAGAACGTTGGCCCCCTAAGGGGGTGGATTGTGACATCCCACATCGCCTAGGAGAGTGATCCTTAAATGTATATTCTCATCCCTACCTAGCACGAGGCCTTTTGGGAGCTCACTGGCTTCGGGTTCCGTAGGAACTCTGAAGTTAAGCGAGAAGGAGGCCAGAGCACTCCCAGGATGGGTGACCCACTGAGAAGTTGCTCGTGAGTTCCCAAAAACAAAACCGTGAGGGAATGGTAAGCCCAAAGCGAACAATATCGTGCTACGGTGGTGGAGCGGGCCCGGGAAGTGGTCCGCCATGGGCCGGGATGTGACACTAAGACCTCTCACTTACAAATAAAGAGTAACACCACTAGACTGTAATACTAAGTAACAATAATAATTTATACTTTAGAGTGCATAGATCTAGAAAAAAAAGTGTAAAAATCACCCACTTTTCTTTAAACCTTAATTTCAACCATAGACAAAAATAGTATGTGGTCAATATTCTAATGAATAATCTGTTAAGTTTCTACCTATCAAGAACACGTTTCCTTTGTATCTAAGCCTTTTAAAACACATAATCATTCACCTTTACAGCTCTATCTTCAACATTAAATTTGCCCTATATATGTAATGATACATGTAAAATAATTTACTTATAAAATAAAAAATGTTATTTGATTTCAAAATAAATTTATCTATATTTTATATAATAATATAGGTAAATTATTGCACACATATATATTAGTAGTAAAATGTGCCCAATATATATAATAATGCATGAAAATAATTCACCTACAAATAAAGGAAATTTGATTAAAAAATAATATATCTACTACTTTTTGTTTATAAATTTCAATTTCTTTTTTTTTATATTACAAACATAATGTACCTACAATATAATTTACCTATTGTTTAATCTTATAAGAAAATAATGTATCTACTGTTTTATTTTTTATATATTTTTTGTCGAATATCTACTGTTTTATTTTAGTAGAGATAATTTGTCTTGGTTTAATTCTTACGAAATAATTTAGGCACTGTTTAACTTTACCAAAATAATGGAACTACTATTTTAATTTACCTACAAAATAAATGCTATTTGATTCAAAATTAATTTACTTATATTTTACATACAAATATAGATAAATTATTTTTAACAAGCATATATGATAACAAACAAAAAATGCCTAACGTATGTAATAATCTAGGTAAAATAATTTACCTACAACATAAAAGAATATTAATTGGTTCTTTATTGTTTTTTATCCAACAATATTATTTGATGCAAAATAACTGATTGTACAAGGATTTTTTTTTTCATATGAAAAATGTGCCCATAATTGTTTATGAACATGGTTAAATTAATATATATATATATATATATATATATATATATTCCTAATATTTACCATACAAGAGAGGTGAAATTTTCCATATGGGGTTAATTACTAATCATAATTAGGGTAAGTAATAATATTTATTGACAAAATTAGGGTTTTGTGGCATAAGTTGTAAATATGTGATAATAATTGGTTACATATTTGTCTACATGGTACTCTATTTGAAATTTGGGTTTTATTTGGATATTTAATATTAGGTGGGTTTTTGTTTGGAAAATAAGAGTTTCAAGGGCCATTTTCTAAAGAACCCTTAAATTTATGAGTTATCAACTCCAATTTCATTTTTGGTTGTGAATTCTTTGGAAATGGAATGTATTTCTCTTGTGTTTTCTTTTTATAAATAGATGACTTGAAGTAAGATGGATAATATTTCGTTTATTTTCTGGAATCTGTTGATTGATTGAGACTCAAGAGGAAATTTCGGTCACAAGTATGCGTCAAAGAAGAAAATGCATTCTTCACCAAAAAAAAAAAAAAAAAAATTCCTTAACGAACAACAATTAAAATGGCATCACCCTTGTAAACAAGTTTTTTTTAACTTATTTTAAGTTATATTAGTATTTGTCTACACACTTTATGTGTATGAATACATTTTTTTAGAAAATGAGAGAGGGGGAGAGAGAGAACGTGGGGGAAGTGGAAGGTTTTTGTTTTTGGGTTTTTTTTTTCTAATAATGAAAGTATTTTAACATTACCTGTAGGTAAGATTTCAATAAAAAAAAGTAAAATTTGGACCTATGAAATTACATTATTGCCCATCATTTTTTTTGTGTGATAGAAGACTAATTTGTCTTTTCACCCTCTTTTGATTGACAAAGAGGGTTTCATTAATTAGTAGAGATAAAAATATGCAAACTTGATCATTCAAATCACCATGGCGCGGGTTAGATGAATTCAATGTAAATTATTCTATCAATTTAAAGTGTAAATACTAAAAAGAGGTACCAAAATCCGTATTCGAAAAATAAAAGATGAAACGATTTCCAGGTCCCCGACCGAGAGCTCCAAATCAAAACACAACGCGAAAATACATAGAGTTTACTGTTTATGGTTTGACCTAATCTCCTAAAAACACAAGTCGTGTTGGCTTTCTCCACACGGCACACGCTTTGGTAGCGGTGATGCATGAGAAATGGATCAAGTAACGTCGTAGTTGGAAAAACCAAGCTAAGCTACCCAGATTACATACTCAATCAGATTTTCTTTGAGTCACATTGCCACACAGTGTGCATGGGGTCGTAGACCTTATTATGTACTTGATGTGTTAGACCTTATTAAGTTACGTACAATTTGGGTTCCTCTACTTGTATTTCTATTTCATGTTTTTCATTCAAAAACAATTATCATATATTTTAATGCCACATGATGTAGAATTTGCCGTGAACGTGACTCCATCATGTAAAATGATGTAAAATTTGCCGTGTACATGACCCTGTCATTTTTGTTTACTAAAAATATAAAATTACAAATGCCATATCTCATTTATCAAAGTTAAAAGTTCACATTTGTCGATGAAGAGGGTAATTCCAAATATGAAAAGTAGAGCATGTTTGGAACTGATCTAGGAAATTATTGGTAGATTATTAGAGAGCTTTTCGAGTAATAAAAAATGTAAAATGAATTTGATTCTCCTCATCATTAAAAATCTTAAAGAGTCCAGTCTCCTTAATTATTAATTTTATTCATGTATGCGCATGCAATTGACCCTTCAAAATGATTTATGAATCCAATAGTGCTCCGCATTCTTTACGTTTAATGCGGAAACTTATGTGCAGTGTGCATTTTGAACTTGCACCACAAGTTTCAGATTAACTTTCAAAGGATGTTAAGACAAAGTAATCTGAACACACCCAGCACTACAAGTCCCTTGATTGTGACACATGTTTCCGGTCCAGAAAAAGCTGTGTTCTT